CTAAGTAGGTTGTTGCCTGTATGGCTAGATTTTTTTCATTTTCCAAAATTAGGAAAGAGAATATTAGTAATAAATAAAAATAATATTGGTAAATAACTAATATTTTAAAATTAATAATAATAATAATAATAATAATAATAATAATAATAATAATAATAATAATAATAATAATAATAATAATAATAATAATTTTAATAAATAAAGTAACTTTTATTAATGAAATATAAATAACTTTAATTAATAGAATATAAATAACCCCAATTAATGAAATTAATATTATTAACTAATTAAAAATAATATCAGTAAATAACTGTATGTGGAGCTGGAGTTCCACATTTCCCCAGCAACTTGCAGGAGAACTCCGTGTTCCATATCTAGCCCTGCATCTGCATCTCAGTACCTATAAATTACAAGCGGTTGGCAACTGCAATGCTGCAAGTGCAGCTGTGGGGTTACGAGAAGAGCCTTGCAAAAACATTTCTAACGGAGGCAGCTGGAAGCCGCTCTCAGGAGCTGTGTCCGAAAAGCAGCGGAGGGGAGCAGGAGGGGCAGGACGGAGATGCTCAGCCCAGGGAACACAGGGATGGTTCCACTAGGTGGCACCCGGAGCCAGCAGCGCGATTTTGGGAGAGCAGCAGGAGCGGAGCCGGGGACGTGAGGAAAGAGGAATGGAACACAAACCCTGCTCACATCACCCAAAGAGGAATGGAGCACAAACCCTGCTCACATCACCCAAAGAGGAATGGAACACGAACCCTGCTCACATCACCCAAAGAGGAATGGAGCACAAACCCTGCTCACATCACCCAAAGAGGAATGGAACACGAACCCTGCTCACATCACCCAAAGAGGAATGGAACACGAACCCTGCTCACATCACCCAAAGAGGAATGGAGCACAAACCCTGCTCACATCACCCAAAGAGGAATGGAGCACAAACCCTGCTCACATCACCCAAAGAGGAATGGAGCACAAACCCTGCTCACATCACCCAAAGAGGAATGGAACACGAACCCTGCTCACATCACCCAGGAAAACGGGAACCGCGGCTCTCAGCCCCCGTGCAAGCCACGAGCCACTGAAAGCAGAAGGCAAATGAGCCAAAGTGTGAAAAATGTGTTTGTGATTCGTGTCAACTGGCAATGGAATGAGCGAATGCTTGTGTCTGCTGTGTCAAAAATAGAGACAAAGAAAGGTTTTGAAACTTTCTGACCAAATAGCCAAATTGTCACAGACATATTTTCTGAAAGATCATTTTGCCAGGATCTTTTCTCCTGAGAAGCTGAGAAACTTCAGCTTCCCCAGGTTTTGCTGCTTTGGAATGTGATTTGGAGAATTGTTTACCCAGCGTGTGAAATGGTTTTTACTTGATGAGACCAATGACAGGCACCTGTGTCAAGGCTGTGAGCAGTCACAAGATTTTTTTATCATTCCTTTCCTTTCCTTTTCTAGCCTTCTGATGAAATCCTTTCTTCCATTCTTTTAGTGTAGTTCTAATATATTGTCTTTTAATATAATATATATAATAAAATAATAAATCAGCCTTCTGAAACATGGAGCCAAGATTCTCATCTCTTCCCTCATCCTGCGAACACCACCACACCAAATAAAGCATTAAAATAAAAGAAGTGCAGTGGAGTGAAAGAGATGAGGTAGCAAGGTGACTGGTGCTTGGAATAAAATAGAGGAAGTTTTGGTAAAGCTAAGAGATATCACAACAAAGCAACTAAATGCTTATGTATAATAAAAAGCTTGATGCACTTGACCAAATCATGCTGCAAACACCAGTGTAAGGCCTCCCTCCAGATGACCACAAGCAGGACAGGAAGCCAACAGCCACCTGGAAAGATTATGAAATTTGCTGATGCCAGCTTATTGATATTTGCTGATTTGGACTAACCAAGCACGTTGGGAAATGCTTTGTAGGATAAAACCAGTATATATACTTTGCCTAACTTGTAAGTGGTGTGTGCCCTGAGTGGGGCAGTGACTCCCAGGCCACCCAGCACCGCTTGCTTGCTTTCTTTACAATAAAAGATATGGAAATAAAATTCAGATCGACTGTTGAAAATTTTAGATCAAAAGCAGTGGTGGGTTTTACCCCCAATTTACCAAGAGGCTGTGAGAAAGCTGAAAGAACAGAAGGGAGGTACTAAATCCATGTGATCTCTCTCTGCTACCTCAGGCTTGTTTTAATTTTTAAATCAGATCTTTTGAGTCTGTGTCAGTGGCATCTGTTAGTTGTCCTATACAGAGCCAGTGTGAGGAGTTTACTTTGGCAACAGCTCTTGTGGAAAAATGCTGCAGTGCTGTGTAAAATACCATTTGGGAACATAGGTACTGAGGACATTCCCAAATTGGTTTGTCAAACTTATTGAGAGCTCAAAATGAAATCTGGAAAACATTGGTATGAGCTCTTTTTGACTTCAGGCACAGCCTGAATCTGGAGAGCATGCAGAACGTGGCAAAAATAATTAGAAAATTCCCTTTAAAAACCAATTTATGCTGGCAGATTAATGGCATGTTATTTAAAAAGTGATGCCAGAGATTAGGTTAATTGGCTTCCTTATTAGTTAGCCTCAGCAGGGGAGTAGCAAGGGCATGAGGGGGTGCAAATTCTAAATTGCCAGGCCTTCCACATCACAGCTGAGGATGGGGAACAGGACAGAGAGAGGGAAAGGGGCACTGTCACAGCCTGTTTCCAGGACACTGTGCAGGGGACTGAGGTTGCTCCCCAGCAGTCACTGCCTTGGCTGCTGAGCTGGAGAGATGCCGAGGGCCACCACGGGCACACACCAACAGGGTGAAAGCTGGGCCTGCTTGCAGAGGAGGAAAAACTGAAAACACTTTGTGAAAATGGCAAAGGGGTCGCTGCTCAGTGCTGAATTTTGTCACTCCTGTTATTGACAGGTGGAGGACAAGGATGGCTGCTTGTGGATGGCAAATTCATCATCACCAAAGAAGCTGGAATGTCAAACTGAACTGAACCTTGTGCTGTGCCCTGCCCTCAACAACCTTCATCCACAGATATCCATCAGAGCAATATTCCTGTGTGAAATGTTAAATAGGTGATGAAGAGGTTTTTATCCCTTCATCCAACAGAGGCTCCACTGTCAGCTGATGTATTTCACCACCTGTTGAATCACGTTCACTGGTCACCTCCTAGACCTGAAGTAACTAAGTTTTCTTTCCCTTATTTCAGTGAAGGATGTGAATGACTAAGAAAATTCATATTGGACTCTCTTTGTTCATGCACCACCCTAAAATGTACCCAGAGCTCCACAGGAAGGACGAATGCCCATGTCCCATGGAAAAGGCAGAGTGCTGCTCTTTCCACCACTCACATGCACCATCATCACCTGGAAGGTCAATGAAATATCCACTGCACAATGTAGTTTACAATGCCTAAAAGCCTAAACTCTGAAAACCACACCTTTAAAACATGAGACTCTGATCCTTCCAGCCCTTCTTCAGCTCATGGCCTCCTGATCCACCACCACCACATCATGCTGTGGGGACACCAATGCCTGATACACCTGTGTGCCCTCTGGTGTGCTCTCACTTTCCAGATTTGCCCTTCATGCTGGAAACTTCTCCTCTGACATATCCAACCCTTCAGTTCCCTGCACCACTGCCCAACCAAACACAGAGAGCAAGGGGAGCCGCAGGTGGGTGCACAGCAGAGTTGGAGCTGGGGGGAACAAGGATCTGCTTGTCAGGGACAAATAAAGATCATGCAGCAGCAGAAAACTTCTTGTACCACTGTATTGCTATTTTTTAGCATTTCTAATACATGTTATGCATGATACTTCTATTTTTTCCACCTTTGTTTTGTCTGGAATAGAGCTGTGCTGTCAGTCAGGCCTTTTTTGCTCTTAGCCAGGTTTGCTGCAGACACAAAGCTTATGTGCTCCTGCTATGGCTCCATCCTGTTGCTGAACACTTTCAGCCCACAAGCTACTACTCAGATATATTGGCAGAAAGATGGAGTTTTCAAAAAACTAAGCATATTGAGTAAATTCCAAGCAAAAAGCCAGCTCAACCAACCAACCAACCTACCAAGCAACTGGCACAAAACAAAACAAAACCAAACAAAACAAACTGAAACAAACCAAAACAAAAACAAAAAAAATCACACACATGCACATACAAACCTACCCCCTCCCAAAAAAAGAAAAAAGAAAGCAAAAAACAAAGAGCAGATTGTGGCAGGGAAGAGGCTGAAGGAGTCTGGAGTGTGTCACATGGACACTACAGCTTTAACAGGGCTGGTGGTGAGAAATCTCCTAATTTCCATGTTCCAACCATACTTGGGAACAACCTGCAACTAGTAAAAGCTAAAGAATCAAAGAATCATACAATGATTGAATGGTTTGGGTTGGAAGGGATCTTAAAATCATCCAGTTTCAAGCCCCCTGCCCTGGGCAGGGACACTTTCCACCAGACCAGGCTGCTCAAAGCCCCACCCAACTTTACTTTGAACACTCCCAGGGATGGGGCAGCCACGATTCCTTTGGGCCAGGCTGCACAACATTCAGAGGAAAGAAATTATTCCCAATATTCAGTCTAAACCTGCCCTTTTTCAGTTTGAGCCTTGTCCTAACACTCCATGCCCTTATTTTAGTCCCTCTCCAGCTCACTCCAGGCCCCCTTCAGGCACTGAGAGCTGCAGTGAGATCTCCTCAGAGCCTTCTCCTCTCCAGGGCTCTGGTGAGTGGCCAACCATGGCTCTCAGCCAGACACCACCACATCCATATTCCAGACAAAAACCCTGAAATCTGGAATATGAAATTCATCTAGTCTGGCTCTCTGGGGAAGCTGAGTGCTTCTGTTTCCAGACTTCCTCACCTTTTGCTCAGCACACAGCTCAGTGGATGCTGCAGCTGAAAGCCAGGCCATTGCAGAGGGCTGTCACAGGCAGCCATTTGTCACCACACACATTGTTTTGCTGGATTCTTAATGGCTGAGTTTTTAAATGAAGACATTGAAAAATTGCTTACCCATGAGGTATTTTGCTGAGGACATAATATGCTGTATATGAATGCTGATACACCTGCAAAACAAAATTAAGAAAAAGACAAAACAAAACAAAAAAAAGAGATTAGTAACTGCCACCTGTGTTAATAGAGCTCTTTTTTTTTGCAAAAAAAACCAGTCTAACATTTGTGGCTGAGAAGCTCTCCTAAACACTTCAAAATGTGCAGTAGGAAAGAACAAAGCACGAATGCACTTGGAGCTGTTGTGTTTCCCTCCTGCACTTTGTGATGGTGCTTGGCAGAGCTCACACACCCAGATGCTCGGTGTCGTTGCCATGGCCACCAGGTCTTTGATTAGACTGGGGGCACACAGGATCTGCCAGGGCTAAATTTAGAACAGCCATTAATGAGGACACCTTGGTCAGCTGGAGGCATTCTCCACCATTATAGCCAGACACAAGGCATGGGGTGTTTTGTGGCTTTATTTCTACATAAATAAGCAGGGAGTTGTGCTGGGTGATATCAGAGAGGGTTGTCAGGGCCCTGCCAGTCAGGAAATAAAACTGTATTCAGTCAAGGCATAAAGTTGACCTCATGTTTGTATGACCTGCTAAGTTGCATCTTCAAAACAATCTGTGCTCAGTGGACCTTGAGGAGGAGCTGGGCAGCTTGCACAGCAGCTCATCCCACAGGGGACAGTTTATTACTTATTTTCTAAGTAGTAAATAATAACAGCAGAGTCAATGCCAGTGATTTAAGTGGTGGTGATTTTGCAATGGTGACAGCAGTCCTTTACAGTGATCAGGAGTCAGGACATCAGGGTTTAAATATGAATAATTTTATACAGATTCATACAGGGCATCACTTTTTGAAATGCTGTCCTGTTACTATATGCATCTAAATAAATAAATCTCCTAGAAATCCAAATTTCATTTGGCTTCTACTCAAATCTTTGAACCATTTTTGCTGTCCAGCAGCTCTCAGAAAGTATCCTGTCCCAGAGAACAAATGAGAAATTTCTTGAATACTTGCTTCACTAAGCAAGTTTGATCAAAGTTATTTTTTCCTAGGCTACTCTGGTTTTTCTGGTTTTTTTGTTTTTTTTTTTATGCTTATGCCAAAAAACCATGAAATGTCCTGGATGGTGCTGGGAGCCCCAGCAGGGGCCATGCCAAGCACATCATCAGTACCACAAGCAAGCACCACTCACTCCCTGCCCCTCTGGAGGGCAAACCTGCAGAGTGGTGTCCAGAACAGCCCTTCTGGGCTCTCAGTGAAGAGGCAGATAAACATGAGGCACACCAATAAACACAAGGCACAGCATCCTGCAAATATCAAATCAAACTTCTCCCTTTGAAACCGAGCACTGAATCCTCACACTACTGCATGAGCTCCCTGAAAAACAGGCACAGAGGTGACAGCACTGGATTTCTACCTATGAAATGCAGAAATTGATGCTGATTGATGTGATTTCCCTCTTGCCTGTTCAATTCACTCCCTTCATTGCAAGAGGGCACATCCCTAAATCCCATCTACTTTCAGCATTCAGATCCATAAGGACTCTCCACACAAGGTGATTCTCTGGTGGGTTGGTATCAGGGAAGGTCTTGGGATACAAGTGAATTCCCCACAAGCCAGCATTTATTTTAGGACAAGTGCCCTTTTTAGATCCACCTGTGTCAGATGATGTCAAATAAATTACCATTTTCTCATCCTCACCCAATCATACCAAAGAGCTCTTGAATCCTCTGATGTTGATACCTGAGACCTGGCTGATGCATGCAGCCTTAGAGTTTATTCCAGCTTTGATGAAGTCCTAAAACTGATACAATTCCTTAAAGAGAAAGCACTGGAAGACTGAATCTGCCTACAGATCTGAAAAACCTGGTAATACATTGTCACTGAATACTGAGACACTTTGTCTTCCAATATCCTGGCAGTAGGTTGGAGAAAATGATGTAGATATATAAATTCTGATCTGAGGCTGGGATGGTTGTTCAAGGTTATAAACCATGCTGTGTTGTCAGATAGCAGAGAAACAAGCCCCCCAAAATGAGTATGAACAGATGCCTTCAGCAGAAAATCAAAAAATGTGGCAGGCTGGAGGGAAAGGACACAGCCAGGGGAGTTTTGAACAGGACACCTGCTGATGTCCTTGCTTGTGGTACAGAGTCCTGCAGCCCTGCTGGAAAGCTCAGAGCTGTCTTAGACACTGAGGGAAAACATTCTCTTTGCTGGGAGAGCTTAGGACTGAGGAAAACAAAAGTTGCAGGACACTCAGAGAGCTCTTTTATTTTCTGAATGGCATGTGTCATCATCTTGGGTCTTTGGCCAGACTCTAAAATATCTCACATCAGCTGTGCTATAGTATACAGACTTCAAAGGCTTGCAGCTGGCAGAGTTCACTAATAGGAGAAAAAAATTTCTCAGATAAATCCTTACAATGTGTAGGTTTGCTTATGTAGAAAAGATCTACTTGTATGAGCAAAGATTTCAGGATCAGACATTTATTATTAACATTACAATTGTTAAGGTCACAAGCACATGCAGCTCAAAAATCCCTCTCAGCCCAACTGTTTCAAACTTATTTGGAAAATACTCTGCCAGCAATGGCACTAAGCAGAGAAGAATCCAAGAGAAAAATCACTTTATGTCTCTCTGAGAAATTAAATGGCAGCTTTCCTCTTAGATATGCAAACTAAATGAAGTTAACTGAACTTTTTGAGAGAATGACTGCTTGCTTAATGTCTTTACTAAGCTGGGGTCAAGATGAATTTGGCTATTCACTTAGCAGTAGGGAAATCCCACAGCAGGGAAAAGTGTAGGGAAGAGATGAGCATCCTTCCCAAATCCAAACTAAGCCTCAGAGAATGGAGAGTACTTAAAAGTCAATATTCACTTCATTAATCCTGTCTGCTGCTGAGGCTTGGCCAACAAAAATATCTGTATAAACTCCATGTTCCCCTTTTCTATCAAAGGGTGTGGTAAAAGCCATTGTGACTGATTTGATGCTCTCAGCCCTGATTTTTAGCTGGATTCCAGGAGCCTTACAGCTCCTCTCAGCAGAGAAGCTATCTGGGGGTAGCAGAGGTTTTGGCAATTGTTGTGCTCTGTAGACTCTGTGTGTAAAACCATCCCACCAACATGAGTCAGAGCAGGTTTGGGAGTGCTCTGAAGGGCTCTGGGTATCACCACAATCAGGTCACAGAAGCTCCCATGCCAGCTGTCACCAACAAGTGCTGTAAAAGTCATTATGACAAAACCATTGGGCCAGAAACACTCTCCTGCTGGGCTTCTCATCCCAGGTCACAGCACAGATCTTGTTTACTTTCAATCTAAATTATGCTCTGCAACATGTGCATGTTTACACTGAAATCATACAGGGACTGAGGGACAGATCTATCTGTTCCACTGAAGTCTTGGAAAGGCAATTATCTCTCTAAAATTCAGAAGAATTCAGGGTAATTATATGTGACAACACCTTGTTGTGTAGCCACTGACCTCATTTTATGCAACCAACAGAAGAAACCTGGACCTGGTCAGATGAGAGCAGGAATGGAAACACTGCAGCACATGGAGCAGAAGAGAAGGACATGTGCCTCTCTCAGGCCACCAAATTCCAAAGAAACGGGGTAATTGTGGTTCCAACAAGGTACAGAAACAAAATGGAAGAAGCAATTTCTGTGCTCTGTCACTACAGAGCAAAGTGTGGTGAATGGCAGTGTCTCCTTGGAAACACTGGTTTAAGTGCTGTAAGGACACAGGTCCTTGTCCAGCAGGGCTCACTGAAATAGAAACTATCTGTTATTTAAGCATAGAGTAGATTTGGATTCATTTATTCATTGTGACTCTTCATATACTTTAAATCAGAATCCATAGCCCTTGTATTTGCCCCAGAGTAACTGCAGAAATATGTGACATACATCCAAGAAATTTGTGAAATGGGTTTTCAGCACCTTATGGCTGGTATGAAAGATTGCACTACCTGCTGAGGGTTTACCCCAAGCATCAGTAAGAAAGAAAGGGTTTAGTTTACACTTCCATCTCCTGTCTGTGGGTTTCTGTCTCACTTTGTGGGCTGATGCCAGGCCAGCACCAGCAATAATCAGCATTTATAGAAGGCTTTCTGAAATGTTTGCATGGCAAGGTGCTGAATCAATACAAAGAAGAGGCAGCTCATTTCAAGGAGGTTTACAAACAAAGAAAGGGGGGCAAAGCTCTTGGAAGAAGGCTCCCCAAATCAGCCCAATCCACTCATCTTCCAGCAGGCTTTGCTACCCAAAGAGCTGATTTAGGATCTTACCACCCAGTGTATAAAACAGCTCATGGATCTGGGATTAAGCCCAGGGACTGGCGGCCATGAGCTCATTATTGTTACTCACTTGATAAACACAGAAATAAAACATGCTTTGCATCCATTTTCTAAATGGCTCCATTGAGCCCCTGGCCCTTTGTACAGTAGTGTTATTTACATTAAAGAATTGCCCAGAAAACTCACAAAAAATATCCCATAAAACTTAGAGCTCACAAGGGACCAGTACAGGGCAGAACAGAAATGCAAGCTGTTTGCAGCTTGCAAGGCTAAGTACAAAATTTTCAATGTTTAGTGTCTTTCTTTTTCAGGAACCACACATTTAATCCAAAAATCCATCTCAGCCCTCCCAAATAAAACTGAACATACCAAACAGTCATCAGAAAGAAAAATGTACAACAGTTTGCTAGAGCCTGAAAATAGCAAGAATATATTTTAATGTGATTAATCATAAAGCACCCAGGATTTATCTGGGTAAAATCACTCATTTTTTATTCTGTAGCAATAAAGTATATCAACAAATAATAGATCCCCTCAGGATTCTTAACAGACCCTGGTTGTCTTGAGAATCTATCTGCTTTTACACTGTGCAGTAAGACAGTAAAAATATATCACAAGTGGCTGGTGAAACAGGAACTGCCAGATCCATTTAAAGGGTTTCCCACAAAGAGTCTCTAAAAAGACTTTTGCTGGAAATAGATTACACAGCCCATTTTCCTACTTATATGAGCAGACAAATCCCCAAATGCACATATGAATGTCAAG